TGCATCTCAAGACCAGACCCTGAGCTGAGGATCAACTGCAGGACGACTCGTCTCCCTTGGTGGCTTCCTTGTGTTGCGTCTGAACTTTTTCCAAAAGGCAGGCAGGAGAGAGAAGGTGGTGGATTTTCCTCCCTGGGATGTTTGGTAGTGGAGGCCGAAAGGGAGATCTCCCCTGGAAGGGTCTTCTCTTGAAATTTGTTCTTCCCACAAGGAAAAAACTGTTCTGGTCTTTGGGTCCTGAAGGGACAATTCAGGGCCATCGGCTGTGCAAAAGACCTGCCTCTCGTTCCTAGGGATTCGCCCTCCTGCCTCCACTTCTTGGCTCTCCATGAGGTGCAGCAAAAGGGGCTTTGGAAACAGGCCGAAGGAGCTCCGGTCATTTCCACATGGAGGGCAAGAGGAAAGAAGGACCGGAAGGCAACCCAGCCTCTCCTTCTGGGGCATTCCCTCTCCAGGCAGGTCTTTTGCGGAGTGAATGGCTCTGAAGGGTCCGTTCCAGAGAAAGTGATCATAAACTGCTTTCTTTTACAGCAGGGGCAGTTCACACCAAGAACCCCTCCCTCGGTTGCCACCTTTCCCAGCTCCTGTGAGGTTGGCAGTGAGCTCAAAGGAAAAACAAAGTCTAAGCAAGGTTGGGGGTTGGAAGACAACACGCCAGAAAAGTCCTGAGACCTGAACTCTGCCCATCTTGGGTTGGCAACACCACGACACACGGCCCTTGGCACGGAGGCCGAGGAGCCCCTTTGGAGACGCCCCCTGTGTTGGGATCCTTGAGGCGACAAAAATAAATGCTCCCCTGAGAACAGAGGGCCTAGTTCAACTGTGAGTCCACTACATCACACAGGCTCTGGTGTTTTCTAGATGTTGATTTTGTGTTTTAAAATTTTACATAAACTGCCTTGGGCCATTTTAAAGGAGAAAAGTGGGGTAAAAATATTTTGTATATATAGTGGGGAAAATACACTGTTGTTTGCTGCTGCTTTCATCGCAGGTCCTGTTGCTCTCTGGTGCCCTGCTGTTGCCCCCACCTCACTGGGACGGGGAGCTTTTATCTCAGAGCCCAGCAATAGATGCTACTTCTTTCCTTCCTTCCTTCCTGTGGTTTCTTTGTTGGCTCCCTTTCTCTTCCTCTTGTTCTGCTGCCTGAAGAAGAGAAGGAGTGATGGGGATGTGACCTCGTTCAAAAGCAACATGACGAAGGCACATCCCGCAAGGAAACATTTTTTATTTGCTTTATCCATGAAGCCTCCAGCCTGACCATTTTCTTTTCTCCTAGGCCGGGTCGAGGCTGAGGTGAGTTGTCTTTGCTGTTTTTAGGGCCAAAACCGAAGAATCAAATCCCAGATCCTTCCAACATTTGCAAGGTAAGTGAGATTTCAAGAGGTGCCTTCTGGTACTCCATCCACGACACCACACTTCTTCTTTGAACATTTGCAAAGTGGTGGTGTTTGGGGGTCTGGTTTTCTTTCATCTTATTTAGGTGTAGGGTTTTCTTAGAAGAAATCTCGATCCTGCTCACCCCAACCCCATGCTCACCAAGGACAGGTCCTGTTGATAAAAGCCAAACCTTGGCCATCTTGATTTGGGGTGTAGGGGTTCCCCTTCAAGGCTCCCTTCTTCTTCCCCCTGAACAGACAATCGTGACTGGGGGATTTTGCTTTGCACCATCCACCTCTCATTTGGACGCTTAGGATAATTGATTAAGAGATAACGTCATTTCTGTTCCCGCCTTCTCCTTTAGTGGGAAGATAAAGGGACAATAGACTAAGGCTGAACCCAAACAAGACCGGGGTCTTCCAAATGGGAGCCCCTGATGTCTGTGGTTTGTGTGGTTCCCAACACACGCTGGGCTTTCTTCTGGACTCAACGCTGTCAATGGAGAACCAGAAAGAGCCCATGGTCCAATCCCCTTCCCTCTTAAATAATCTGCTAACTTCCCTGCCTGAATGCAATTGTCACTGTTTGGTCCATGCAAAGATAGTCTCAAGCCTTCCTGGAGCAGATGGCCACACATTAAACAGGGAAAGATGTAGTAGTAATGGCAGATTTCAACTATCCCGATATATGTTGGCTGTTAAACTATGCCAAGAGCACAAGGTTCAACAAATTCCTTTCTGGCCGTGCAGAGAATTTCATGGTCCAGAAAGTGGAAGAGGCAACAAGGGAACAGCTTTTTCAGATCTCATCTTCGCCAACAGGGAGGACCTAGTTAATGAGGATGAAGTGATGGGAGCCGTAGGTGGGAGTGACCATGCTGTCTTGGAATTCGTTACACAGTGGGAAGGGGAAGTGAAGTGTAATCACACATGCATTCTGGATTTCAAGAAAGCCAATTTTTGTAAATTTTGGGAATTATTGGTTACAATTCCATGGACAGAGGCACTTAAGGAGAGGGGATTTCAGGATGGACAGGAATTTTTCCAGACAGATAAAATCATCGGTACAGTCATTATAGATGAAAAAATTCTACCAAAGTGTGATGGCCGAGCTTCCTATAATGATTTAATTTATTTTTAATTTCTAATTTCAGCTTCTCAAAATTTAGCTTTTTATAATCTTTTAATTTCTAGTAACATTTATTCCTCTTTATTGTAGCATACATAGCAATAGTATTTTTCCTCCTTATTCTAATTAAACAAGGTCATCTCAGGTTTATTCCAGTTCATTTTATCCTTTCCCCACTGATTATAATTGCTGATAATGGTGATTGTTCTGTAAGAAGCATGTAGAACACTGTTTCCAAAATTTTTTTGAGTCATGACCGCCTTGCATAATCGCTAAGTGATCTGCAGTTTTCCCTCCCACATTTTCATTTAAAAGGCATTTTAATAGGTGAATAAAAATACAGTCAAAATAGACTTCTCAGAATAGAGCTGTACCCCATTGATGAAAGGAAGGCTGCAAATCTGCTCTACCAAATATTTATTAAATTTATACCCTGTCCATCTAGACTAAAGTCTACTCTGGGTGGCTAACAATAATAGATAAAATTAAAACATTATAATAAAATAAAAAAATAATAGTAATAACGTACTTCAAAATGGGGAAAATAATTAGGTGATGACAGCCGCCCTTCCTAGCTAGAACGGGGGATTCGAGTACATCAAAATCATTTAGGGCTTTCATTTACACTTTGAAATAAATGTGGAAACAAACAAGCAGCCAATGCAAGGCAGCCAGAGTGGGGAAAATATGCTGATGTTTTCTCACCCCAGCGAGAAGTCTGGACACGGCATTCTGTATCATATGAAGCTTCCACATCAATGTGAAAGACAGCCGCACGTGGAGTGTATTACATTAGTCCAATCCTGAGATTGCAAGCACATGGACGGTCTTTCCTTCCTCTTCTGTGACCCAGGCAGAGACGGAATGGGTCTTTCCTTCGCCCTGCAGATTTCTGACATGGTTGCTTTGCTTCTTTTTCTAATCTACCAGATGATGACCAGGAGAAGAGGAATTTCCCAGCAACACTTGGGGCATCCTGGGAAGGAACTCATATTGAAGCAAGAAAATGGAGAATTTAAATTGCAAGTGGGTAGGAATGGACATCAAATGAAAGAAGTAACACAGTGGAGAAAGCACATAAAAGCATGTCACCTCAGTAGAAATGAAATAACTCATGCAGGGGAGGAACGGTATCCATGTATGGAATGTGGAAAGAGCTTCAGTCACAGTGGTCATCTTAGATCACACGAAAGGACTCACACTGGGGAGAAGCCATATAAATGCATGGAATGTGGAAAGAGCTTTAGGGACAGTGGTCATCTTAGGTCACATGAAAGAACTCACACTGGGGAGAAACCACATAAATGCATGGAATGTGGAAAGAGCTTTTGTTACACTTTTTACCTTAGGTTACATCAAAGGATTCACACTGGGGAGAAACCATATAAATGCATAGACTGTGGAAAGAGCTTTAGTAACAGTGGTGACCTCAGGAAACATGAAAAAACACACACTGGGGAGAAACCACATGCATGCATAGAATGTGGAAAGAGGTTTAGTGAGAGTGGTAAACTTAGGTTACATCAAAGGACTCACACTGGGGAGAAGCCATATAAATGCATGGAATGTGGAAAGAGCTTTAGGGACAGTGGTCATCTTAGGTCACATGAAAGAACTCACACTGGGGAGAAACCACATAAAACGCTTTAGTCTGAGTTATTATTATTATATTATTATTATTATTATTTATTTGATTTATACCCCGCCTATCTGGACTACCAGTTATGAGCTTAGGTTACATCAAAGGACTCACACTGGGGAGAAGCCACATAAATGCATAGAATGTGGAAAAAGCTTTAGTTGGAGCTCCTGATAAGTTAAAAAGGCATAAGGAGCTCATTGAGTTTTGTGCTGGTTTCCATTGTAAAGAATAAGCATCCAAATGCTGAGATAATGCAAAGGATAAAAAATGGAGTGCATTTTGAAGTGCCACTTGTGATGTGTTTTACTTCTATCTTAAACTAACAGGGAGATACCGTGAAATAGACGTGGATCCTTGTGCTAAAAATGATTATAAGCATATAGTGTGTAGTAGAAGCTTTTACAAAATGAATATGAAAAGAGAAAAGGATGGATGTTCTAAGGCTAACTGATAAAAAAAGCAAGTAGTGAAGAGAGAGAAGCTGTCATTTGCTTTAGATGGCTTTGCCCTCAAAATTAATAATAGTAATTGAGTTTTAAAAGGGCACCAATGAATTTGCATTCTGAAAATTTTTTATGAAGAAAAGTACATGTTCCTTATTATTTATGAAGAATGAGGTGTTTCAGAGAGTACACTGCTTTGTAATGGCAGGAACTGTTGGAAGAGTGGAAATTTTGGTTTTTCAATCTCTGCTCTCTTCGGGCCCTGGACTGCACTGAGTCGGAGGTGACCAAGTCCTTTGATCCTCAACTTCTGAGCTTTTCAGAGTCTGGGAAATCCAAGCCTTGAGAAAGTTTGTTTTTTCTGACTCAGGCAGAACAAAGGGATATAAATATTGGGAGAGATCTCACCCAAAGTGTTATTAGAAAGGAACAGAGAACCATAGATATTTGGTTTCATGGAGTACAACATACGATGGAAATGATGCCGGGTGAATGTCCTTGGAAGAGCGGAAAGATAATTGTGAGGCAGTGAAAGCCAGCAAAAGATTTTACACATGGCTACCTGAGAACAAAATTTTCTGTTTGTTAACAACAGACATGGAACTAATTAGTGATTTTTAATTTGTATATATTTAGTTTTAAAGCTTAAGGTTTTTAAAATGTCTTTCATTGTAAATGATAAGGGTTTTTACTTCTGATCATTGTATTCTTAGGAACTTTGAAGTGTTCTGAAGATGTATTCTCTGTCTTTCTAGATTATGAGATCCAGTTTTTTTAATATGTTTGTATTTTAGATTAAAATACACCTTAAATTTTCCCTATTATCTAAATTTAAATTCCTGCTTCTTTTTACAAGGTGCAAGATTGTATTTTAAGTAAGCCTGCAGTTTTTGCATAACTATGATATTTGGATTTGAAGATATGTACGTACAATTTTTCCTCATCCCTTTTTTGGGGGGGGGGAGATTTAGTATATTTAAGTATGGAATCTAGAAATGATGTAAATCAATGAACTTGTACAGAGTTAACAAGTTTTGGAATTGCCTGAAATCATTGCAGCAACTAAAAGACTTCTTAAGAGCTACACAGATGAGCTTTGAACACCTTGTCACTGGTTGTCTATCTGATGGCAAACTGTGGGACAACTTGATGATACGTCACTAAGAGGTAGAAAGGAGTCGGTGAGAAGTAAGAATGGAAAAACCTCATATTGGGGGGAGAAAGGGGTGAGAAAGTGGAGGAGAAAGTTCAGGGAGGAGAGAGGCAAGGTAGCTGAAGAGAAAAACTGGGAGATGGACCAACATCTCAGGGCTTTTGGCAGTTGTGTTTATTGGAACCCACAGGAGAAACCGCACATCTCTAGATGTCTGAGAATACCGAACCCCCCACAGTCTGGTTTCATTGTGGGAATCACCTTTTTTCAACATCAATGAATTGTAGAATCTCCTTGCCTCGGAGGTCTGTAAATTTTAGGGTTCATGCGGAGTCTGATATCCTAACAAAGTTATGACCTGTAGATATCAAAGACGTCATACCGGAGAGAGGCGATAGAAATACAAAGAATGTAGGAGGACCTTTCATAAAATCAGTCATCTTTCTATTCATCCAAGATCTCATACAAAGGGGAAAACTTTGAAATGCAAAGAATGTGGGAACAGCTTCAGTCTGAGCAGAAACTTAAGGATACATCAAAAAACCTACACGGGAATACAGGGGTGCCTCGCAAGACAAATTTAATTCATTCTGTGGTTAATGTCATCTTGCGAAAAATTCGTCTTGTGAAATGTGTTTTCCCATAGGAATGCACTGAAGACTAATTAATGTGTTCCTATGGGCAAAAAAGTCAGAATAAATGTCACAATTGGTTTACAAAGGATTTATTAAGTGCTCTTTAAAGCCATACATATTGTGCAGGTGATTTCAAAAATTTCAATCACAAAACTTTACCTTTTTAAACATCATAGAAAAACATTTAAAAATCAGCAAAAATGAGGCAGGAATATCTGCCTTCACTCAAAGTGAACAGAAACAGTCACGAACAGTCCTTGGATTGTGCAAAGCTCTTCAGAAAGTGCATTTTCAAGGCATGTAAACATACAGAAACCAACAGTACAGAAACTTTTTACATTTCACAATTTATTATGAACAAGCGAGGCTGAAGTCTCTAAACCATCAGGACCTGTGTTTTAAGTCAGGAAACTGGAGGCAGACAGAGCTGTCTCCACATCACAGAAGCAGTGTTTGACTTTCCCAGAGCTGCAGAAGTTCTCTCTGGCGATGGCCTGAACAATGGTCAACTGGGAGAAGGCTTTAAGGCTTGACCTCAAGGCTTCTAGGATGATGAACAGGAGGAAGAAGGCAACTGGGCACCACTGGTAGAAGCAGCAGGTTCCTCTTCCTGTCTTGGTCTCTTCGTGAGGAACCTCTCCATGGTTAGCTGCTTCTGCCTCTTTTTCAGCATCCCTCTGAAAGGGGACATGATCCTTTCGTCATATGTGTTTCAAAGGTCATGTGCCAGAGCCTTGTCCGGGTGGTACCGCTGTGCTTGAGTCTGCACGTTTTGCCACTGTTGTAAGAACAGCTTCAGTTTAGTGGTGGGCAGCTGTTCCTCGCCTGGCTCTTTTCCCCTTTCCAAGGAGGCCTGCTCCTCCGTAGCCTCTGCCTGCAGTTCGACCAGCTCCTGGGTGGATAGCTCCCAGTCATGGCCCTCCACCAGTTCACAGATGTCCCCAAGGCAACAATGTCCTCCATCACTGGTGGAGGCGCAGAAGCATCAGAGTCACTTGTTGCCGCACAGTCTGGCCGCAGGTTGCGCCAAACAGAATTAAGATTTCTCCGTCTGGTCCCGTCCCAGGCTATGGTGATGAACTTCAAGCAGCTGACAGTGTCGAAGTGGTCCCTCCAGAATTCATGCAGGGTGAGGTTGGTGCAATCGGTCCCCTCAAAGCAGCGCCTGGTGTACCGTTTCTTGAAATTGGACTCACCTGCTGATCCATTGGCTGGAGTACCGGGGTGATATTAGGCGGCAGGAACATGATTTGAATGAAGCTGAACTTCTCTAATAAGTCTTTCTCAAGGCCTGGAGGATGAGCAGGAGCATTGTCCATCAGGAGCAGGGCCTAAAACTTTGCAGAGACCTGAGTTGCAAAGTAGCTCCATCTCTCTCCCCCCTTCTGGCTTTGGCTATTGCTGTCTCTCCCGCTCCCCCCTCCCGCAAGTAGTTCCACGTCCCGTCTTCTTACAGATGAAGGAGGACAGAGGTAGGCAAGGGCAGGGGCGGAGTGCGTGAATGGAGCTTTGCACCGACGCATGGCTTTGCTTCTTTGCTCTCTTGCTCCCCACCTTCCCTCTCCAGGGAGCAGCCAGCTCCATGTCCATGCTGGTTGCCCCTCAGTGGCTTCCCCGCAGGGAAGGGACGCTGCTCTCCTGCAAGGGGCACTGAGAGAAGTGTTAGCATGAAGGCCACACGCCCACCAGCAAGTGCAACATGGCCCCTCCATGCAGGGGGGGCAGAGATCTGTGTCCACAGCCCAGTTCCAGCAAACCCACAGACCAGAACTGGGCTGCAGACTGGGGGTAGATGATCCCTGGTCTAAAGAACATGGTAGCTGCTTTGCCAATGGATTTATCCAGGGAGAGATCATTGAGCCAAGGTACACAAAGTCATGAACAACCTCCAATTCTTGAATAGAAATGGTAATAGAGGAAGGTGAGTCCACACCCTGCCCCATGACTTGTGTTTTCTTCAGGCTGATTGTTAATTTAAAGTCTTGGCAGGCCTTGCTAAAACGATTCATAAGTTGTTGGAGGTCTTCAGCAGAATGGGCAACAACAGCTGCATCATCGGGGAAGAGGAAGTCCCACATGCATTTCAGCTGGCCTTTGGTCTTCGCTTTCAATCTAGAGAGATTAAAGAGGTTTCCAATTGATCTAGTCCGAACAAAAACCCTAAGTCTCTGATAAATGGTTGTTGTGGGTTTTTCGGGCTCTTCGGCTGTGTTCTGGAGTTTGTGCAGCTGTTTTCTCAATCAGCACACAGTCATCTGCACAAAGATCTGAGATTTTAGATCAGACACAATAAAGGAGCGACAAGTGTCAGGAAGCAAACATCAAGAGCATGCTCCTGGTCTATTTCAAAGTCTTTCCCTCCTAAAAGGCTCAGAGAAAGTCATTGCAGACACAATATAAGGACAAAGATTGGAGGATCACCCTCAGGATTTGCCCTTCTGGGTGGCTTTCTGTTTCCAAGATTAAAGTGTTCAAAAGGGCTCACTTACTGTTCCAAGGAGGGAAGCTCTTTTTCTGGACCAGCATTCCCTCTCTTTCTAAACCAGGGGTTCTGAACCAGGGGTCCCCAGATCTTCCTGGACTGAAACTGCCAGAAGCCTTCACCACTCCCTGTGTTGGCCGAGATTTCTGCGAGTTGTAGTCCAGAAACATCTGGTGACGCAAGGTTGGGATGCATTGTTCTAAACTGACACTTGACAAGCAAAACCCCTTCAGAAGGACTCCCGCATTAATCACAATTGACTTGATGGCACATGATGATGATGATGATGATGATGATGATGACGACTATAGTGATCAATGTCAGGAAATTCCCCTTAAGATAGAGAGCAGGTAGATTCTGTTTTTTCAAGGAGAACATGATTGAAAAATGCTACTATTGCAAATAATGATTATATACTCTTAATTAATGATCCCGCTGACTTGAGGGATTTTTGAGGAAATCTTGAGGAAGTAGATAGGAGGAAACGGATAAGGGGATCCTATTGTAAAGTAACTGAGCCAAGGAGAAGAGGAACAAACCGTAAGAAAGAGGATGGGAGGGGTTGGGAAAAGAGGAACACAGACCAAAAAATGGTAAAAATAAATAAAGAGTCTGGAGTCTAAATAAAGAAGGGAGTGGGAAATGTAAACAGGAGTGGGACTTCATATGATGGGTTTTGGGCAGTTGCACAGTTTGGAATACCTGCTACTTGGGAAACGAGGGACCCTGTGGCCGGGAAGAGGGAAGAAACATCGAGCTCTCTGTCTTGGTCGGTGTGCCTACCTGGTTAGGACACCCACTTTTGCAAAAGTGATTTTAAAAAAGGAGAGCAGCTTGAATTCGTGGTTGTCTGATGGCAGTTTGTAGAACAGGATTGTGAGCACTTCTAACACCCTGTTCCCTTAGAAATGCAATGCAAGGATGCTACCACTAAAACGGTCTCTCTCTCTTTGTAGCCTCTATTTCGCTACAGCTCCCAAGGCTGGAACTTGGAATTTTTGGATGATCTGACTCACTGAATTCCCCAAGGATTCAATGGGTCTCCTCGAGTGCACCTTATGACACTAAGGAACAGGATTTTGATCTGGGAGTGCAACCACACTGAAGGATGCTTTGTGAAGTTCGGAGCGCTCCCTTGAGGAAGCCTGCCGACCAGGAGCGGTTTAGACCATCCCCCCCCCCGGTAAATGAAGAAAAGTTAAACAAAGAGTTAATGTTATCTTGGACTGAGTCCCCATTAAATGTTGGCACAATTGATGCTATTGAAATTGGTGTGGACACTCTGGATATTAAACTTAATAAAAAGTTAAGGACACATGAAGAGACTCCAATATTTATTCCCGCGAAAAAAGAGGAACTCCTCAAACTGTTTACTGGAAAGTAAACAAAGGATTACTGCTATTTGCAACTAACTAATTTAGCTGATGTTTTGCTTCAGGAGACTCTTGAGAGTACCTGATGTGGAGCTGGAGGAGACTCTTGAGTGTCCCCTGGACTGCAAAGAGAATAAACCTATTCCTTTTTGAAGGAAATCAACCGCTTTGGTTGTCAAAGGAATTTGATGTTGGGCTATCAAAAACTATGGTGCCCTTCATCCCCTCATGAAAGGACCTCATGATGTTAATAGGAGTCGAGGTGGATATGCAATCTTGGGAAGTATTTTTAAAAGGCCATCCCTGCTAATCAAATCAAAGGCCTTGGTGAGATCTATGGAGGCCACAAAGAATGGCTGTTGTTCCCCACAATGACTGCCGAACAATTGATGCTTTTGAATTGTGGTGCTGGAGTAAACTCCTGAGAGTCCCCTGGACTGCAAGGAGAAGAAACCTATCCTGCAGGAAATCAACCCTGAGTGCTCACTGGAAGGACACATCCTGAAGCTGAGGCTGCAATACTTTGGCCATCTCATGAGAAGAGAAGACTCCCTGGAAAAGACCCTGATGTTTGGAAATTGTGAAGGGGAGAAGGGGACGACAGAGGACGAGATGGCTGGAGAGTGTCATCGAAGCCAGCAACATGAATTTGACCCAACTCCGGGAGGCAGAGGAAGACAGGAGGGCCTGGTGTATTCTGGTCCTTGGGGTCACAAAAAGTTGGACACAACTTAATGACTAAACATCAAGAACAGCCATGAAGAAGGTAGAAAGGGCTACATTTCCTAGGCAGAAGAACTTGAGCATGAATGTCCGATGGCTGACAGCTGACAGGAAGTATTCCATGCTCTTCATATTTCTGGAGGTTCAATTGTTTCTGGGATTTTAAATGCAGACTGAGGTTGATTTGACAAGTATAGTTCTTCCCACATTCAACACAATTGTACAGTTTCTGTCCTGTGTGGGTTCTGAAATGTCTATTTAATGCATTTTTAGAGCCGAAACCTTTTGCAGGGACTGAACATTTATTCTTCCCTTTTCTTTCATGACAGTCTAGAACCAAATGCTGAAGGACTCCAGCACCCTGAGAAGCAGAAGCTTGCCTTCTTTCCCTTTGGGACAGCTGACTCTTGCATCTTTGCTGTTCTCTTTGCCCCAAATTGGTTGTCTTCCTCCATTGTACTCATGTTTCTTCAGTAAAACATCATGTGGCTTTTGATATTGGCTTTCCTCCCCAAAATCTGCATGCAGAAAAAAAAGGGGGGGGAAATGTGGAAAAGGGATAATAAAGATGGAGTTTAAGGACTTTAATCTGAATGAAACATCTTTAGTGACTTCTCTTACTTTTCATTCCAAGATTCTCCCTGTTCATCTCAAGATGTCCGGTTAGATGCCCTGTAGGAAAGCATTACTCTGTCAGCCAATATCCCCAATCTCATTCTGGCCTGTTTCCCATTGCATTTTAGAGGTGAGAGATGGGTGTGATTTTTTTTCCTACCATATGACATACAATGGAACCCAACATCAGATTACCGTTGAAGATAAAGTCAGAAATCATCTCAGGAAATTACGAGGATTGTAATAGAAGACTGACATTGTAGGCTGGATGGATAAAGGAAGTTGTTTATCAGCCATCTTGTGCAGCTGGGCCTCAAACTGAGGCCTGCTGATGAGGCAGAAGGCTGAGGTGATTCATAAGAGTTCACCTGGGATGAGATTAAGGTTACCTGATTGGTTACCTCTACTACGATCCTACAGAGAGAGACAGACGTGGCGTGGCGAGTGTGGAGATTTCCTGGAGGACATGATGTTGGAGCACGTTGTAAAAAGACTCTACATACTGCAATGTAAGCTTCGAAGAAGAAGCTGATGCCTTGTATTTTTCTTCTCTGAGAGGACCTTGGAGGCTGGTGGTGCCCCTGCTTTGCTCAGCGCACCCCACAAATACTTGACACAAGTTCTGCGTCCAGCACGTTTCTGCTGCTGAAGAAAGTGTGTAAGTCACTGGCGAGTGACTTGTGGGTCCTGAGGGAGTCCAGAGGTGCTGGAAGCTTTCAGGGGCCCAGAGAAGGTGAGCGTTCCTGCCTGTCAAGACCAGGAGGGGTAAGAGCTACGTTCCTGGAGTCCCGCGCAAAGCCAACTCCAACCTTTCAGGACAAATCAATGCCCTCGTCTCCATTCGGGAGATGACTGGACTGTCAGCTAAATGCTGGCAATCAGATAAAATTGTCCTACGCCCCTGCCAGCAGCCACCCTGTTTAGGAGAACAGACAGGCCTAGCACACACAGCATCCTCTTTCAACTACAAGGCTTAGCAAGAGCAGCCAATTACTGCTATTGCTGTCTCCCAGCATCTGCTATACATCCGGGTTGCATCGCTTCATCTAATAGCAGACGCAGACTTAGTCCTGACTGAAGGAGCTGCCTTCGCCCCAAGCATACCATTGCAGATCCAGTTCTTAGTTGTTCAGCATATATCTAGATCATTGGTTTCCAGCCTTGGGTAACCCAGGTGGTCTTGGACTGCAACTCCCAGAAAGCCTCACAATGACTTCTGCTGACTAGGGTTTCTGGGAGTCGCAGTCCAAGAACACCTGGGCTACCCAAGACTGGGAACCACTGATCCACATCATGGTAGAGATGCTTTTGTGACTCTTTTACCTCGTATTGAGTCCCAACCCACCAACTGACAAACAAGACATTAAAAGCCCCCCCCAAGCTTAGCTTCTCCACTTTGAAGAGTCGTCTATACATTACAAATGTATTCCAGTTTTAAAACATGAAACTGTTATAAAGCATGACAGTTTTTCCCCTTAAACAATATTGGGAAATGGTAGTTACTGAGAGAAGACCCCCTGGAAAAGACCCTGATGTTAGGAATGTGCGAGGGCAAGAGGAGAAGGGGACGACAGAGGACGAGTTGGTTGGACACTGTCATCGAAGTGACCAACATGAATTTGGCCTAGCTCCAGAAGGCAGTGGAAGACAGGAGGGCCTGGCGTGCTCTGGTCCATGGGATCACGAAGAGTCAGACACGACTAAATGACTAAACAACAAGAGTGCTGTGAATGATCAGTAAGGGATATTTAGCCCTGCCTAGAATGAGGATTTCCACAATTCCTTGAGCAAATGTAACAACTCTGAAACATTTCATGTTGTATTTGGCCCAAATACACTACATTATTTTGTAATGGCAGAAGAGGATAAAAACTGTTGGCCCTAAAGTATAATCATTCTTAAACATCTGTAATTAAACATAATTATTCTTGTAACTCTTCATTATGTAAATTTACCTTGCAGTTCATACCCACGTGTACACTGGGGAGGAGGGTGTCAGGAAAAAGGGTGTGAGACCAAGTATAAAGGTTAGAGAAGAGAGTTCATGATTCTGTCCGAGGAGGAGAAATGGGATAAATAAAGGTAGGGATGAAAAAGAGGAAAGCAGCCAACCTGATCTGTGGGGGTAGGAAAAATGCCACATCTTGGGCTAAAAGAAACACGAAGGGGTCATGTAATCAGCATAATCAGCAACCAAGCAGGACAGAGCGCATTCATTGAGAAGGGGGGGAAATCACTCTGTCCCCCACCAGCTTCCCCTGTGATTGAGCTTGCTAGGTTTGTGAGCTATTACTGTTTTCAATTATCTATAAAAGGTCTATTAGAATTTTAGTATTTTGATGTCATTAGATGTCTTAGAAATATCTGCATTTCCCAAAGCAGAGCTAGAAAATGTGAACTACTTTTGGAGATAGAATTCAAAATAATGGAAAACAAATTTGAAGTGTTCCACGTTGTGTGTTTAGATGATCGTGATATATTATGCTGCGGTAAAACACTGAGAGGAGTGCTAAGCACCACGTCAGCAGTATAGAGATGCATGTAAGGAATAAACACATTTTCAACAACTAAGACATGAATATTATGCCCTACCTTAACTTTGGTGCCTCTGACAGACTTTGCTGACGGGAACTCTGTCTTGTCTGAGGATTTTGTTCCACTAGAAGTGGGGAAAGTTGGGCTTCTCGGGCAGGTGAGTCCTGGCCTCTGGATGTCCTCCTGATTCAGTGGAGAAGAAGTCCAGCAGCCAGGATCAAAGGGCCCAATCAAGGCCCTCCTGATATTTCTTTCACCAAACTGGTCTTGTGCTGGGCTGAGGAGGACCCTGAAGGAAGAGGCTTTGACCTTGGAATGTGTTTGGAATTCTATTCACGAAAAAAGAGAGAGAGATGTGTGGTAAAGGCCAAACAGAGCAGCTGGAATGAATGAGGGCAAAGTTGAGAGTCCTGCTGTGCAGGCAGATGATGGAAGAAGCTGATGTGACGTCATTTCTCTTCTCTCCTGCTTCCCCCCCCGCCCTGTTCATGCAGGAGGGGGAAGGGGGAGGTGTCAGTGATCAGCTCCCCAAGAGGACGCTTGACAGGTCGGACAGAGAGTAATTAGGAATTTGCACACCCTTTAATTAACTGAGTAGAGTCCTGGTTACCCAGTCAAGGCCTGTGACAAAATCCTGCTTACAAGTCTGCCCTAATAAGAACACTTCTGTACCTTAGGAAAACCAAAAAGTCACACATATGAGCTTTGTAGTCCTTGGACTCAATATGCTCAATATGTCAGGACTCAGTAGCATAATGTGACCAATTTAATGTTTTAAATTGCCATTCAGGTGACACCATAACAGTTTACTATTCAAAAGACCAATTGATTTGAATAATCATTGTTTTATTAAAGAAAATAGACAATTCCATGAAGAAAAGTCAGTTCAGCATAAGTACGGTAAGCAAAAGAAGCATTTTCAAAACTGGTTACAAAATAGAAATGAAGCAATAAATCCATAAAAATATAAAAACAGTAAGAATATGAAAAAACCACAAAAAGCCAATAAAAATATATGAAAAGTTATTTAAGGGAAGGCAATAAGGCAAAGGCCCCCCTTCTTCTAAAAATCCATACATCTTGCAAAGTCCTTCTTCAGCAAGCAAGCAGGTCTGGAAAAATTCCATTTTTTAAAAAATAGTCCAAAAGTAATCCACATGGAAAAGGTAAAAAGTAATCCATAGGAAAAAGAATAAGGTAATCCATAGGTAATTGTGACACCGCAAGCCGCAGTCAGGAGGCATTTTGGGGAGCGCCGCCACTCTGATCAATCAATAGGGCTATGGAGACTAGCCCCACCCCTTCAGTAATCAAGAACAGTGGCTCTTAACCTTATTGAAAGAAACACCCCCTTGAGCCATTGAGGAAGTTATCATCGCCCCCCTCCCCGCAGCTATGATATCCTATTTATTTATTTATTTATTTATTTATTTATTTATTTATTTCTTTATTTATTTATTTATTTATTAAAACACTTAAATTCAATGATTGAATTCAATGCAGTGCATTTGCGATCCCACCCAAAGAGATGCTACGCCACCCCAAACCGTCCTGTTTCTCTCCGCACTTCCCTTGCAACGGGCAGGAAGGTGGGTGGGAAGGCAGGACGGACAAATAGGGCTCATCTCTCCCTCCCCACCTGGATACGATGCAGAGCTTCACTGGGCAAAGGCAGGGACCCAAGAGACCCTTTCCTTCCACCCGATCCACATTCAGTGCTCCCCTAAGGGAGAAAGGCAAGATGTGGCAGGAAGAAAGAGTGGGATTGTCTGGCAGCGGCAGCACCGGATCCACTGCCAGCACCCTGGCTGCAGCCACCTTCACATGTTTGGCTTGCTCCAGCGCCCCTCTACCGCCCCCCCTTCTGCTCCATCGCCTCCATGCCGCCCCTTTTTGTTCTACCGCCCCACTGAAAAATGAAATCGCCCCCTGAGGGGCATTATTGCCCACGTTAAGAACCACTGATCAAGAAGAGAGATCAGGCGGTGGATACCAAGGAGCTGGAAGATAGAATACGGGAACAGGGTTGGAAACAAGAAGCAGAAGTCTTGCAGGAGTTAGAGAGGGGAGTGAAAGGCTTAAGTGTAGCAACTCAGATGGAAGGAAAAAGGGCAGGAATGGTGCAACCGGTAATTGAGGTGGGAATGGGAGATATAAGAGGGGCCAGGGGTCCGATACTGGGTGGTTGGGAAAAGATCTGGCTACAAGACCCCGATACTGGGAAATGGGAACAAGTGAGCGTTCCCCAAGAAGAAGCCGAGCGAAGGCGCCGGCAAGGACTACTGCCTAAACCCTCTTATTGGGGGGAGTCCGAGACGAAAGAGTGGAGGCGTAAAATACGGGAGGAAAAGGAGAGAGTGCAGTGCGAGCAAGAAGCTTGGAGATCATGGCTTCTGGAGGAGCTGAAGAAGGTCGGCTGTTACCTGGACCTTGGCACCTGACGAACCCCCAGTATGGGGGTGGTTGGGAGATGAAGAAACGTTACCGTTACTAACCCCTGAAGAGAAAGGGGAAGACGAACACCCTGGGTCCAATTTGGTGTTAGAACGACCTTGGGGGGTGGACAGTGTTAAACCGATGGAAGAATTATTTGCGAAGCCCTTGTTCGACCCGTTGTCGATACAAGAGAACAAAGTCATTGAGTTATCTGATGTTGATGTTCCTTTACCACATTTAATAAAAACTAATCCTTTGTTATATACTGAAGCATCCCGTCCGTCAATGGGGGAAAAGAGGGGGGGGCTGACTGAACCTTCACAGTAATCCATAGGTAATTCAAAAGAATCCAAGAAGGTCCAGTGTAAAATGAATAATAATCCACAATAAGGAATAAAGAATCAAGATCAGAGACCCAAAGGCCCAATGCTCCAAAAAGGCCCAAGAAGCCCTTGTCCATTATGTAGTATCCATTGTAAAGTATCCCTTAGAATAATATCCATCGAATGGTATAGGATGGCATCAATTGGAGTCATGTCCATAGAGAAAAAGTTCCTTTTTCTAGCTTTGCTGGCACATCCCTTATCTCCCCTTTCTCACGATGACAACCAATCAAATTATGAAGTCAGGTAAACAGTCCCTCTTTATCGTCTCCATTCCAAGCTCTGTTTTCTTCACATAAATAACAGGTGTTATTTACATAGTCCATCTGCAACTACGCCATAACAAATTCCATCCTCCTTATCTTAGGAATATTTTCTCAGGCCTTTCAGAAAAACATTCCCAGCCTTCTAGAAAAATACTGTCAGCATTGCAGAAATCATTCACACAGAGAAACGAAATGCAAGCCAGATTTCATTGTTCACTACTACATAACCCATCTTCAGTACAAGATCTAAACTACATAAACCCATATCATTACAGGAGGAACATAGAGCTACGAAGGCGAAGGAAGAGCCCCTCCCCTTGGACGCCCTTTCAACGGGAGCCGGAAGAAGCGGGGATCCTGCAGCGCCTGCCTCTTCCCCTTCGGCCCAAGAAAGGCGCCTGGAGGAGAGAAGCGGGGCTTTTGGGCCGCCTCCTGGATCGGGACCTGGACGGAGGTGGGCCCTGGAGGGGGGGCAGGTCGGGAAGGTGAGAATAAAACAAAATGGCCAAAGGTTTGTATTTTGTGTAATTTATGTAGGTGAGATTCTTCTCATATATAAAACTGAAAAGCGAAGCGAAGAACTTGAAAAACACACAGAAAAATACTTTGAAGTAAAAGGTTTGGGGAATGTAATTCAGTTTTTAGGGACGGAAATCAAAAGGGATCCTGATGGTAATTTTTCTCTCACTCACAGAAAAGCAAAATTGAACAACTGCTAGAAAAATATGGGATATTAGAAAGTAAACCTGCATGTGATTTTCAAAGGAGTGAAGAAAGTGAGCCCTTTGAACAACCAGAGCTGTATAG